TAATATTTCCCCCCCCCCCCCCCCCCCCCCCCCCCCCCCCCTCCCCCCCCCCCCCTCCCCCCCCCCCCCCCCCCATCTATATTTAGACCACAAATGCTCATCGGGCGCTATGGTAAACAATGATCACAAAAATGTGACATTTTTTAACATTATAAGTGCCTAAAAAGCAATACATTTTATTCCTGAGCAGTGCATATGGGAGTATGGGTCACGTGGCTATGTTCAAACACTCTGAACTTGCTAGATTAATAGATGCTAAAAATTAAGCCACTATGTCGAAACGCTATTTTCGAAATTTTCCAATATCCCTCAACTTCATGAACGTGTCTCTTGTAAATCCATTTTTCATATAGTACGCAATTAAACGCAGTCGATATTGTTAAGCAGTAAACATGTTGAAATATGTGTTTTATGATCAGTGTCTTTGACTATGTCACCTGATCAAACTATCAAATGGGGTTCGAAATGTTTGAAAAGTTCAGAAATGGAAAATTTTTGAAAAAAAAATTCCCGGCACTTTCGTGACTCGAATTGTTTAATTTGTTTACAAGACGCCAGACGGAGAAACAAACAGGTAAAGCAACAAGTAAATTGAATCTGAGGTTGGGCGGGATGGAAGAACTAGGTTTAATTTTTCTTCCTAATTTCTCCAAAATCTAATCCGCGGGAAAGCTGATTGAATACATTGACTTATCCGACAAATATCAGTGATAAAATTCACGAATTGGTACCCCTATCAGGTTTATTTACAGTTGCGTTTACAAGAACTTCCGTTGCGTCTTCTAAACGCGTTTCCGTATTTTGTACTTATATAAACGGTACTACGGCTGAAAAAGTTCGAAGCATCTTATACATATATGCGAAGGTTTATTCACGAATCGGGTAACTCGGTTTGTGCCGAGGTGTGCCCGAGCATCGGCTGATTCGAGTTGCCCGAATCGTGACGCTTAATTGATTATTTCCGTCTCGTTTAGAAAAGATGCTCTCCATTGTGAGGGACGGTTATTATACTTTCCGTTAAAATGTGAAGGCCGTTTGAGTTAAGGCTTCATTTGCGACCATAGGTAGTTAGTTCCCTGTTTATGGGGACAATATGATCGACAGCGACATCTGTTCGCAGCGACATCTGTTCCGACTCAGAAAATAGGTTATTCGGACAATAGTTTATTCGGATCCTACCATACGATTTTCCTTGAAAAACTTTCCATAAAAGTATGGTGGTATAGGACGGATAATATGTGTAAGTTTGAGCGAGTTTTTCTGTGTGCCAAATTTTGAGATAACACCTTAAACACAAAAAAATATCTCCAAATCGGTGGTATTGCCAGTAGTTGAGTTTCCGCAAGGCATATATCTGAAGATCTCCAAACGATTCGATTTTCTTGAAACAATTAGATAGTACGATAGTCTAGTAAAATAGTGCTGTAGGGACCAGATGTCGCTGTCGGAGCAAATGTCGTTGTTACCTTACGATTCATTGACACAATCAGATACTAGCCCCATATCACGAAACTTTCTTACGTTTTCCATAAATCTGAACGTGACTATCTTAGATCAGACAAGGGTTTCCAAAGTTTGGTCTTTTCAAGTTTTAAAAAAGGTCGGGTTTTTTTGGTGCCCCTACTATAATACTACTAAGCCCCCTGGAGATTTTTGTAATCCTTAATATTTTCGCATCGACCGATCGTTAAATTGTCCGGGATATGGTAATTTTGCTGCAAAATCAAATGATTGATGGCGCCGCCAGTGGGTTTGCGGTTTGCGGAGGGCATTTGTCAGCAACTGTCTTAATCTTTAGTTTTACAGCATAACAGCTTATATTATGTAAACTTTAGTTCATTAATGTAAAAGATAAACGACTGATATATAATTTGATTTAACGGCCCCGGCCCTAGCACTGATAGGGGGTACCAATTAGTGAAATGTTATCATGATTCATAAGTCGGATAAAGTCAATATCATCAGCTACCCGCATATAAGATTTTTGGGAGAAATTGGAAGAAACATTAAACCCTACGTTCTCCCATCCCGCCCAACCTCATGATTCCATTTACTTGTTGCTTTACAGTTTGTTCTTCGTATGGCGTTCTGGCGATTGTTTATTCTCGAATCGTGACGCAAAAGTGTTTAGTCTTTAGTTTAGTGCTCATTTCTGAGGGACGTGTTATACTTTGCACGGTTTAAACTGCGGACGCCGTACGGTCCTCAATGCAACCATAGTTCCCTGTTCCATTGACACCATCTGCATTTCATCGAACTTCAATTTCCGTTTCTATAGTATTTTCGCTTTACTTCTGTCAATATTAAACCAAAATGTTACTCCGCGTTATGACCGGATGTTGCTGATTTTCCTCGTCATCGGACTCATACTTCTACCAGAGGGCACTCTGTACTACCAACCTCACGACGATGCGATGAGAAATCTCTTTTATCACCACGGGGACCTGCAGTACCCAGTTGGTTTATTAAACCTTCTAGACTTAGCGATTATTGACATTTTAGTTAGCATTATAACCTGATAGTTTCATTTAAATGACTCTCCTCTTTTCCGTTCTTTTCTACTCGAATCCCCTCAGACGCCGGGACAAGGAACCGGGACCCTGATTACATACTCCTCCAACCAGAATGCCCCACGACCCTTCCGGTCTAGGTTTTCATGGCGACGACGGCACAATCGGTTCGTGGCGATGCATGACGCAGCCCGCTTTATTAGTTGGACGAGGGTAAAGCTGGTGTTTGGAGGATTTCAGAGACTGGGTTTATCAGGTTATCGGGGACGAGGTAAAAAGGAGTACCGGGAGGAAGAAGGAAATGGTTATGGTGACGTGAGGGACATGGAAAGATTATTTAAAAAAGGAACGCAGTCCAAAGAACAAAAGCAGACTGGAAAGATTTCCTTGACAATTCCTTTTAAGTATGCTAATACTTACACAAATCTTCGACCTATCATAAGTTTGTATACGCTTTTGGAGATGGATGGTTTCGGAGGAAGGATGGCTGAATGGGATTGATTTGGCGATCTTCACCCTAAGTTGGGGGACAAATATGATGATCATGTTCCTATTGAACTTCCTCTCTATTACTGCCAGGTATGATTGGTTTTTGGTGGCTGAATTTGGGAATACTTTATTGCCATTCATTTCATGAACTTTTCGACAAGGAAAGAAAAAATCTATCTCCTTGAGCTTTACTTATTCAATTCATCGGACAGAGAGCCTGATTTCATTTTTAATATTTTAGATGTCACGTGCAGACTTTCCACCCACATGGGAGTCACGTGCCATCATGAAGCACAACTAGAGCTAACGAGGTCGGTCCTTTGGTAAGCGAGCGGGGTTGATGTTCGAGAGAAACTTTAACGATGTATCCGATTCCAGCTTCCCGATGCGGGAGTTGGGCAACATTGGTCAGGGAAATCTGACCCTGATAAGCTGCCTTTAACGATGAGGGAGCTGACGGAAAGGGCGCACCCGTGAATTGGCAAGGATAGACCTGGAGGAAAATAGATATTGAAGTGATAACCATTATGGAAAAGATCTTACCATTCTGCCCCTGAAACCATACCTCTCAATGTTATTTGTTATGGAGGATACCAGTGGGGCAACACAACCAGACCTACATTCGCCTGATGGGAAATATTCCGAGGTTTGGTGAGAAGAAAAAACCAGCGATTAGGAACACAGTGCCGGATACTTTCCAAGACTACCCATTTGGGGGAAGCTGGGCACAACAGTATTTAGACAGTCATGCCCTGTCAGTTTCATGCTTCTGATCATGCGAAATACACTAGAATGATCAGTAACTCATCTGGAACCATAAATCAAAAGAGAGGCAACAGATAGTGCACTTTCAATTTTGCAATCATTTATTACCGCTTATGTTTGTAGTTTGATAATCTTGGCTTTTGCTCCCACCCTAGTATTAATCCTAGTCATTATAAATCTTGCAAAGCTTTTATATAAGACTTTCAAACCGGTCAGTAATTTCCTCCAATGTATGATTTCTCATTAAATTTAGGTTGTACGGATTAGCAGCGTCCGGAATCACCAATGGCTTCGAATTGCCAGTGGTTTGACAGGGCGGTGGCTGCCTAACAAAGGTGGAGATGTCTCCGTATACCCTGGTGGGATGCTGGTTCTGGCTGGCCCACCAACACGAAGAAATCACACCACCTTTGCGATGGTTTTGTGATAGATATTAAGACTTGGGCTAACCTGGCTTCGACCGTGAATGACGATGGAATGTTCCTTGGAAATGCTGGTCATGAATTTGAGGAGCAAACTGAAGTGCTATTCCAGCTCATGCCAACTTTTACGGGCGATTCACTGATCCGTGGAATGCAGGAAAATAAATCCGTACACGTTGGATTTAACGGAAGATCACAGATTTCAGGAAAAAAAATTGGAACTGAACTTTTCCGCAGTTCCTGTGGTTGATTTACCCATTGTTTTTGGTAAAATTGGCAAAGTGAATGACTATGTAAATGTTGAACTGGATCTTCGGAGAGGCAGTGTCTTCCTTATGGTTGGAAAACAGAAATTTGATGTTGTTGGAATAGAACGAAGAGATTCCAATTGTGAAACTAGTTAATCATTCGATTTTGGGACTCAGATTATCTTGCATTAGAATCCGCGAAGTCTTTATTTATAACCACAAGGAGCTTGTAACACTCAGGATTAGTAGTTTCTGTTATCTGATATATTTTTCTCTAATCGCATTTATCTAATCGCAGTTTTTGCAGCTTGACAGATAAAAATTATCCCATTTAACCTTTGGCGATCTTGGATCAAATTTTTGCAAACAAATCTTTGAAAATTACAAATTTGTTTCCTCCCCCCTTTTCCCCCCGTTCCCCCCCCCCCCAATCCAGTGAATATAAAAAATATAAGCAAGGTTGCTTTAAAATTGGCCTTTTTCTTGTTTTTAATAAATTATCCTTTTTTATAATTAGTTATCCTTTAATTATAATTAATTATCCTTCAGCATGGAAGAGAGAGGGACGATCCCTATTACTACCATTCCAATTCGGGGATGCCTCACGACCCTTCCTCTTCTGGTTTCATGGCGACACACGGCACACATCGGTTCATGTCAATGCATGAGCAAACCGCTTTGTTAGTTGGAGACGGAAAGCATGGGGTCTGGAGATTCCAGGAAAATGGTTTTATCAGAGTTTATCGTGAGCAAGGAGAGAGGGTGTTCCTGCGGAGAAAAAAGAAATGGCGTTAGTTGATCTGAGGGACAAAGAAACCGGCTGAACAGGACGACGACATTAGAAAATTACTGGAGATTCTTGAAGAGCACTACATGAACATCGACCCCAAATATGAAGCTGAGTTTAACTACACTTTTGGAGATGTAGAGGTATCGAAGGAAGGAATGCTGAATTGGATTGATTTGCCGATCTATCACCCTAAGTTTGGGGACAAATATGATGATCATGTTCCTATCGAACTTCCTCTCTATTACTGCCAGGTATGTCATGATGAATCTAAGAGCTTTTTCTTATCTTTTTGTGATATTTCGCGAGTAATCTTTAAATTTATAGTATTTTAAAATACGTTTTCTGACTGAAAATATTGCGTAATATTCTCCGCTTATGAACATGTCATCAGTTAACCTCATCCCCATACCTATAACTCACGAAAATGGAACGCATATCCCAACATTCGAACAATAGTGTTTGAATTTCATTTGGCTCATTAGTCATAATTATGACTAATTATGACCCTTTTCAGATGTCTTCACCAGATTTTCCACACATGGGAGTCACGTGGCACATGATGAAAGTGCAGCCAACAGCGAATAAAGTCGGCCCTCTCGGTAAAAGAGCTGGTATAGATATCCGAGAAAATTTCAACGACGTCATCCGATTTCATCTATTCGACGACGCTGGAGTTTGGGCAAACATAGGTCAGGGAAACCCAGAAACTGACATGATGCCGAAAACTCTTGAAGAGCTGAGACAAAGAGTGCATACTGTAAACTGGCAGAGAGTTGATTTAAATAAAGTAGATATAGAAGTTTACGTCATGGAGAGATCTTACCATAATGCACCTGAACATACCTCTCAATGTTATTTGTTATGGAGGATACCAGTGGGGAAACACACCAGACTTACATTCGACCTGATGGAAATATTACGAGGGTTTGATGAGAAGAAACCACGCGATTAAGAACCCAGTGCCGGATAACTTTCCAAAAATTCCCCATGGAGAAAGAAACTGAACCGAAGCAGGTGCTTAAAAAGTTTAGCTGTAAGAATTTTAGCTTTAAAATATAATGACCACATTAGCGACAAGAGAAACGCCATATTCGGACGTGAGAAGAGTGAGGCCTCCTCACTCTTTAACATCATTAATTATATCCCTTCTGTAATGTCCTTAATAAATGTTATAGATTTGTAGTGTTGTAATTAGTTTAAAACATGTATGATGCATATTTTGAATTAGACTGTTACCTTTAACAATATCACGTGACATTTGATTATAATTCCAGGTGTACGGTTTGGCAACATTCGGACATCATCACATGAACAGAGTCAAGTTTGGTTTGACAGGCGGTGGCTGCCCCTAACAAAGGTGGTGACGTCTCTGGTTACCCCTGGGGGGATGCTGGTTCTGGCTTGGCCCACCAACTACGAAGAAATCACACCACTTTGCGATGGCTTCTTGATAGATATAAAGAGCTGGGTTAACTTGGAAAACCATGGAGCGAGGATGACATGTCCTTGGAAACGCTGGAAACACGTACACAAATCAGACCCAGTGCTGTTTCAAGCACATGCCAATTTCTACGGCAGATTTACGGACACCTACAACGAAGGAAAAACAATCCACACGAGATGGATATGACGAAGATCACGAGATCCAGCAAGATCCGGGAACAGACACTTCGGAGGTTCCGGTGGTCAATTTCACTATTGACTTTGGTAAAGTAGGCGAAGTGAACGAGTTTAACGCTGTCATATTGAATCTCGAGCCAAGACAATGCCTGAAACCCGATGAGGAATGTATAATGGAAATAAACGCAGCTTTCAATCACCCGACCGAAAAGTACGGTTACGTCATATCACGTGATACTTACGTTAGGCTAGAAGCTGATGATAGCAACCTCCCGGTGGTATCGGCAGGGTACCCTCTGAACGTAGCTGAACAATGGCCAGGAATTGAGGGGGTTGTGGACGCAGCCTTTACTGACTACAACAACGGTAAAACATTCTTCTTTGTTAAAAGCGAACCAAGAAGGACAGTGTACTGCTGGAATTGGAATGAGTCGGAGATGGAGATGGATGGAGAAGATGAAGGGAGCACTGCTTTTGCTGGTCTTCCCCAGGGTGAAATCAAGGGAATGGCAAGTTATCGCGACTATGTCGTGTTTATGTTTGAGAACGAGTATTACTTGTGGATATCACAGACTGGACTCCACGAGGAGGCTCAAACATGGGCCTCTCTGACTGGAGATAAATCAGTACATGTGAGTGGGGAATTCGATGCTTTTTTGAGTGGATATTTCCACACTGGGAGTCAAGAAGCAGTGGAGAAACACGTACTTGTTCGTGTAGATGGTGATGAAATGGTGAAAGAATACTCTTATCGTCGGTATGAAGAAAACTCGGATCTTCAGATGTGCGCTTAGGAACCCCAAATACGAATTAAATAGTTTTCAATGTTCAATTACAGATTGGAAATGTTTTTGATTTTATCACGTTAGGTATATAATATTTTGTATGATTATATTAGTTGACGTTAGTTATAACTAATGATTATAGATAAACAAACACATATATCAAACACATGAAATCACAGTGCTGGCAAGCACGAGCGGTGTCTTTATTGGGGGAATACTATGTACCCCCTTTACTATTACACCCATTTACTATTACATCCCCTTTGGTACACGTTGGAAGCCTCTTTCGTGCACGCGAAGCGTGCACTCCGGCCGGAGGCGGCGGCCGAAGGCCGCCGCCTCCGGCAGGAGTTTTTCAGGCATTAAGACTCATCGGAAGTCGTTCAGCAGATTTATTTTTAGTTCAAAACATTCTAATTTGATGTCAAAGATGACAGAAATAAGAAATAGTTATGTTGAGATTTTTAAGAAATTTGCATAAAATACGCGCCAGCACTGTTATACGAAATTCGGTAAAAAACCCAAAATCGCCATATTCAGGTGCCTTAAAAACCATGTTAAGATTGAGTTAGAGATCTGAAACTTTGCAGGGCGTCTAGACGTTGACCTAATCGACTGTAAAAAAAGTTTCAAGTTTCAGGACCACCGGGAAATGGGTTTTCTAGAACCCCTGTTTTACGACAGATTGTCGTGATCACAATGCTGGCAAGCATAACCGTTGCCCTTATATTCACAACACTATTTACCCCTATACTATTATATCCCCTTTATTGTTTTCCAGGCATTAAGACTCATCGAAAGTAGTTCAGCAGGTATATTTAAGTTCAAAACATTCTAATTCAATGTTAAAGATGACAGGAATAAGAAATAGTTATGTGGAGGTTCTTAAGAAATTTGCGCAAAATACGCGCCAGCATGTTATACGAAATTAGGTAAAAAACCCAAAATCGCCATATTCAGGTGCCTTAAAAACCATGTTAAATTAAGTTAGAGATCTGAAACTTTGCAGGGCGTCTAGACCTCGTCCAAATCGACTTTAAAAATTTTTTCATGTTTCAGCAGTATCGGGAAGTGGGTTTTCTGGAACCCCTGTTTTACAACAGATTGTCGTGAAGTATAGTATAGACGCTTTGGCAGTCAATTGGCAGTCAATTGTAGCCTACATTTAAGTGTCCGTAGATTCAAAAGTATAAACGATACAGTCATCTCGAACCACAGGTTTTAAAGATAATCGTTTCAACTTAGTTTTCTTTATATTTTAAAATAATTTAACGCCATCATCATCACTTGATGACGTCATCAAATTAAGTGTTTTTAAAACTTGATTTTTGACAAAGTAGAAATTTTCAAATCGATTTTACACCATTAAGGAGTAATTTTATTCAAAATCTGAGGACATTTTCACCTTAGATAATTGTTCAAGCATTCCGAAAATCTACCGGAAAATTTTCCTACCTTGCTCCTTCATAAAGATATTTGCTATTGAAGTTAGTGCTTTTTTGAAGAATAATTTTATAAAAACACAAAAGTTGTGAATTAGTATTCTCTGGTGTTGGGCCATCCCCTTGGGTTGTGGAGCTCAATTTTGCTTCTTAAAGGTCTAAAATTGTGTTATAGGTTAGTTTTAAAGTTAAAAATCGAAAAGTTGCACACGTGGGGACACGCCCCAAATTCATTTTTAAAATAGCTAAAATCACTAAAAATTTTGATTTTCACGATTTTTATCAACTTTGGAGTCCCGTTGTGATCCAAGTTCTTAATGAAATCTTCTGAAACTTTGCATGCTTATCAAACTATATATTAAATACCACTATGCAAAAATTTATGGTGATTCAATATTGGATGCGCACGCAACGTCCGCTCAAAGTTTGCACGTGCGAAAGGTGGAGAATTTTGCTCATTCGTGATTTCGAATATATTCTGCTTTCCCACAATATTTAAATGGCATTATATATGAATTTAATGCCAACTTGAATGAGTAAAAAGTGCCATATTCAGTCGGTTATCGACAGATATACCTACCTAAACACAAGGAAACGTTTTCAAAGGCAGAATTTCGAAATCGTTGAAATTACCTCTTTATTAATGAAGTTTCGACTGTGTAAATTATCCTGACATTATAATCAAAAAAATATGATATTTGACCAAAACCCATAATCATGGGTAGAGTGAACCGCTGCCAGTGTCTCTCTTTTCCAAACAAAAGGAAATGATATTAATTTGAGGAACCGTCCGCAAATGCAAATTGATACCGAGAATGAAATCGGTCGCTCGCTTTTCCCATTCAATAAGCTTTATTACAATTCGTAAGCCGTGAATGAATGGGAAAAGCGAGCGACCGATTTCATTCTCGGTATCAATTTGCATTTGCGGACGGTTCCTCAAATTAATATCATTTCCTTTTGTTTGGAAAAGAGAGACACTGGCAGCGGTTCACTCTACCCATGATTATGGGTTTTGGTCAAATATATACATACATATATATATACTTATATACATATAAATAGTTGTTGTTTGGTTTCCCAAAGAGAGTGCTCGACTGCAGTTAAGCAGGAGCATTATAATTCGAACAATTGAAACAAATCAAATTGGCGGGCAAACGATCCGTTTCATGATATGTATAAAAACAATACCAATCATCAGTGCTGATGATTGGTATTGTTTTTATACATATCATGAAACGGATCGTTTGCCCGCCAATTTGATTTGTTTCAATTGTTCGAATTACTTATATACATATATATATTCAGGGATAGACGCTTTGCCAGTCAATTCTAGGCTATATTTAGGTGTCCGTAGATTCAGAAGCTTTAAAGATACAGCCATTTCGGACCACAGGTCCTGAAGATAATTGTCTAGACTTTAGTTTACATTATGTTAAAAAGTAATTCAACGTCATCATCACCACTTGATGACGTCATCAAGTTAACCGTTTTTAAAACTTGATTTTTCACAAAGTAATCATTTTTAAAATCGATTTTACGCCATTAAGGAGTAATTTTATTCAAAATTTGAGGACATTTTTATCTTAGATAATTGTTTAAGCATTCTGAAAATCTACCGGAAAGTTTTTCTAGCTTGCTCCTTCATAAAGATATTCGCTATTGAAGTTAGTGCTTTTTTAAAGAATAATTTTATAAAAACGATAATTTATCGTTCTAGTATTCTCTGGTGTTACACCATCCCTTGGGTTGTGGAGCTCAATTTTGCTTCCTAAAGGTCTAAATTGTGTCATAGGCTAGTTTTAAAGTTGAAAATCGAAAAGTTGCACACGTGGGGCCACGCCCAAATTGATAGAAAATTGCTAAAATCACTGAAAATTGCTGTTTTCACCAATTTCCGTCAACTTTGGAGTGCCGTTGTGATAATAGTTCTTCTTGAAATACTTTGAAACTTTTCATGCTTATCAAACTATATATAAAACACCATCATGCAAAAATTTACGGTGATTCAATATTGGATGCGCACGCAACTTCCGCTCAAGGTTTGCACGTGCGAAAGGTTCAAATTTTGCTCATTCGTGATTTGAACAAATTCTGCTTTGCCACGACAGTTCAATGTCATTATATATGAATTTAATGCCAACTTGAATGAGCATAAAGTGGCATATTCAGTCAGTGATCGACCGATATGCTTACCTAAACACAAGGAAATGTTTTTAAAGGAAAAATTTCGAAATTGTTGAAATCACCTCCTTATTAATATTAATGAAGTTATGAGTTTACATTTCGGCTTTGTAAAGTACCCTGACATTATAATCAAAAAGAGATGATATTTGACCAAAACCCATAATCATGGGTAGAGTGGAGCGCTGCCAGTGTCTCTCTTTCCCAAACAAAAGGCAATGATATCAATTTGAATGACCGTTATCAAATGCAAAATGATACCGAGAATGAAATCGGTCGCTCGCTTTTCCCATTCATTTACAATTGAAATAGATTACATGTTATAAATTGA